ATTGGTTTGATTTTTGGGTCACGGGTGAGGTTAATGTGGTGCTCTCAGTTACCTTTTGCTTCAGGTTGCGACATTAAGCCAAACAGGCTCACAGGCACTTCACACACACAAACACAGAGCACCGAAGTGACTAGTGCAGGTAACGACAGATTGTTTGCGTTGGCAACCTCTGATACTCGCAATTTTTCGCCTCTATGTATTTCAAGTGTTCAGTTATGATGGGTTTTAGAAGTCAAGACATGAGTTTTGGAAACTTTGTAAAAAGTATTTAAATTTAGCAGGTAAGCGTATGAGTGTGTGGATGATTTAATACCTTAGGCAAAAATTCCTTTTTTACATTCTTTGTGTTCACTAATGCATACACTTGTTAGCCATTACTTTCACATACACTGATGTGAGTTGCGTTTCTGTCCAACCTTAGTGCACGAATGAGTGAAAACATGGTAGCAGAATTAAAGCGCGTGAACGAGGTAGGTTTTTGGCTTACGTCTAGGTCAAAAGGTTTGCAGTGAACTAACTCACCACATGCATCAAATTGCCTTCAAGCCTGCGAGTTGTAGTGATTGTTTCATTGGCGCCAGTCTGAACGTGCTTCATCACGCCATCCTCAATAGTAATTATAGCCTTTGAATGAAAAATGAGAGCTTAAGGATGCAACTGCACCATTAACTGGATCACAGTCGTCTATGCATTGCAAAAATTTACCCAGTCCTTTGTTACATTCCAAGCACAAGAGCCTTTCGTTTACCTTTCAAAGAGCCATAGCCAGTTGTGTAATGGACTAGGAGCTAACCTCTGAGCGTAACTGCAGGATCCTGTCACTTACACAACACATTTTTAAAATTACTTTGCTTCAAAACTGCTGAGTGTTTACACTAAAATTGGTGACTGATTGAATTTCTTAATCACTGAAAACGACGTTAGTGTAAGTGTCCCTGAGGCAATACTTACTGTATTCACAGCTGACTTGCTGAAGTAATGACTTTAAACTTGAAGATTACATTTCTCTCAAAACCACAAAATTGGATTGTATTTACATGAATACACCGTGATGACTTAATTTATTTAAAGGGAGCAATATGGAAAATGGCTTCATGTGGTCGATGGAAATGTTTTAGGATTCCTTACGATGTGCCAAACTAACTAGGCTGAAAACGCTGAATTGATTAGCTCCCAATTTCGCACTGGTTCCCAAGGAAAGATCAACCTAATCGTATATAGCATTCACAGTGCGCATGGCATTTGGTTTGCGTCGCTACTGTTATGCCAAGACAAGTTTACACACACGTCCTTGTGCTCTGCTTTACACGTGGAGTGGTCAAGTAACTTGGGGAAACATTATTTTGAAGCAAAGAACAGTGAACAACCATGAATTGTTCTAGAGAATCAAAAGTACGAAATTAAAAGGTAGTAGAAAATTAGGCAGATTAAATTCGTTTTTTTTTGCAAAAACATTCATCAAGGTAGAAGAACAGAGAAACGATCAAAAGCAAATCAACTAATGTAAAGGTATAAACATTCCTCCCAAATCGTTTATTTCTAGAACCAAGAGTCTTTGTTAGAGAGGTCTCGGAAAATTTCTTAACACTGGCTGCAAAGCCTTTTTTACGACGCTGCTTTATTGGTCAACACTTTTACCCAATTACCTAAACTGCCGTCTGCGAACAAGAAACAACATGGTTTGATCTACAGAAGAAATCCAAGTGATAAAGTTCGCCTTTATATAGGGTTGTTTTTTTAAAATTTTAACATACTTGGGGTATGGAATGCCCAACATTCTAATTTCTATACTTTAAGACACCAGTTCATAATCACAAAACAATAACATTAAATATGGAAAGTCCTAGGATTGATGTGTGCAAGTAAAACCAATTCAAAGCTATAATAAAATCAGATATTTAGGCTCTTAAACGTTAGTTCGAAAGTTCATAAATAAACGGTACTACAAGGTCTGTGTCTGGGCATAAAGAACACTGCTCTGTATCTAATAGTCTTTGCTATCGCCGAGAGGTAATATCTGACAATAAGGCAGTCCCTGAGTTATTTTAAATACAACTCCAGTTTCTTGAACTAAAACCTTTAACTCACCTTTAAGGGCATGCCGCCTGAGCAATTATCCTCAAATTCCTGCCCCAAGCGAAATATCGATTCTGTTTTACCTTTGACAGACGAAATTTTTATTGCGTAGGCATCGTCTTTCCGTGAAAATTTAGTCTTCGAGCCCAAACGCGCAACCAACTTTGCAAGAGTAGATGATACCCCAAAATAGGACAAAAATTTATCAAAATCCTCATTTGAGTCCACCTTCCACGTGCCTAGGAACGCCTCCATCTTCGCAGCTGCAGTACTTAAAAAAATGAATGATGGTAACACGCTTAAAGCCAACTTTTGACACTTGAAATCGGGTGGAGCAGAAGAGGTTGCTACAGGTGTCTCCTGTCGATCTTCTTTCGAATAGCACAATCCATCCTTTTATTTAAGTGCAACAGCATTCCAATCAGAGAAGCCAAATTTGAGCTCTCACGAAAACAAGTGCTTCTATTGAATCATGAACTTCCACATCTTATAACTATGCACATAAGTTCAAATTATTCAAAAAATACATTTAAAATCTGGATTAGAAGCGAAATTTTTATGTCACCACTTATTTGGCTTTGTTATACCTGTCCTGTTGCACAATTTTACATAAGGCTATTCAGATTGCTTTTTAAAGAGGCCTGCAAAGCTGTTTACTAGGAAAAAAAACACCAGATTTTCACAAACTATCTGACTGTTATTCAAAAGCTAAGATGGCACACGTGCTCTCAATATTGTTGTGTAAGCGGCTGTCAGAAAAGTTCGGTAATAACATGCAGTGTATTAGAAACTCAACAATGCTTCTAATTATTTAATGGTATATTATTTGTTTATGGTAAGGGTAACAGTAATTTACTAATCAATAACTGTAACAAAATAACATTGAATCCTACTTCAGCACCCCTGAGGTAAAGGGATTCTGTGAAAGTTCATTAAAACAGAAAGCTATTTTCCTATATATATGTGCTTTGAACTCGGTAATGCCAAAACCCTGCATAGTTTAAATACACCATGTATTTCCATTTAGTGTACAATTAAATGTCAAATATTTGTTTTAGTGGCTTGCGCAAAACAAATTGCGAACTACCTCCGTTTGTGTACTAGCATCTAAGAGCTCAGAGGATTACCGCGCAATTAATTCTTGGCATCTCAAGCACCATGCTCTGCAAATGTGGCAGATTAAATCAAGCAGTCATTGAAGGAGCCTGAGTAGTTCTTGGCTGCTTCGCCTCCTCGTGTGGGTCTCTGCTTGGCTGAGCCAAGCAAGAGTACATGCAATGAAGCTGTCGCTAGCCTTGCAGAAGTAGCGAGGCTTAGAAGGTGGTTGCGTGAACGTGACTAATAAGAAGTTGTGAATCACAAGCAGCTAATTTCAACTCACTGAACTACCCAAATCCCAACCTGCTAGACTGAATATTTAAATTAGTTCATTACTACTTCTGCTGATTTTACCCTAGAAAACTGACCGGACCTGCCCTAACGCCTGTTGGCGACCCAATATATGCGCAAACGATTCAAATTCAGTCCACCTATGTCGACCAATACACGACCCCTCAGCCAGCGAGGGCCTACACTCGGCAAGGAAAAATAGATTTGGTGAAATCTACTCTGCTGGCTACGAGTGCATTTGTCGTGCGGGCTTCAGATTTAGTCAAAGGCGTAAAAAGTGCGTACAACTTAAAGTCACCTGTAATGATAAAAGGTAGGTGAATCGACGCTTTATTTGATAAAAAAAGCTTTCAATGGTTGCAATCAAGTTGCCTTTAAAAGTAGCTATTAATCTCTTATCCTCATAACTATATCCAAAATATTTGGAAAATTAAAATAAATTGGAGAATTTTTAACAGGAGACTATTCACGAAATCTCAAATTGTGGCACTACCAACCTACTCAACTAAGGCAAATTTATTTAATACAAATATTAAGGCCAGCAACGCATTGCTACTTTAGAGCCCCAAAGGAAGTGGTTAATAGAAAAAATGCATTCCTAGAGATTCTTATAAAAATCAAGCGTTTATTTGAAGCCGGGATTACAATATTTGAAGATTTATTTAATTACAAAGAGGCAACTAAACTAGAACAAGATTATCGTTTTGCTTAATCGTATCTATAACATTTTTAAATTGACAAATCATGAATGCATTAAGCGCTCAGAACTAGACGCGAACAGTATGAAAGGTTATACCTACATAAATTCCTTTATCCATAAAAAGGACCAGTGACCGAAGTGGAACTCGTTGCTTTTTAGTTTCTCGTCGTTTGCATTTGAAATTACGTAAGACAGCACTTGAAGATGGTCTAAACAAAACAAACACACTGATGTAAGCGTTCAGACTTCACAAATCAAGAAGCTTCCCTTTTTAAATTTACAGTAAATTTGCAGTAAAATGTGCGCCAGTATGAGATTGACTCATTTTTAGATATGGGAAGACACCATGTCGAAACAACGGTATCTGCCTTCCTTTATCGGTCAAAGAACGAATCATTCCAACCATCACCTTCCAGTGCACTTGTCCACCAGCGTGGCAGGGCTACGTTTGCCAGGTAACACGACAATCAGATCTACAAATTCACGTTTAAACATTATCATTGTCTTAGTGTGCAAAATATGAAAAGTCAGACAGATATTTGTGACTTTTTCGTGGCTTAATAATATCAGCATGATCAGAACTTTTGTAGTAATCAGTGACAGAACATTTGAGTAAGCTTCTACGTAGACCGTTTCTTTTATTCAATTTGTGATTTTAGCTCATTCAATAATGTTTTCGGTTCCGCGAACCTTTTGGTGTAAACTTGGTGATTATTCACTTCCTAAATTGACATCAACAACACAATAGGGGTATTGAGTACGTATTATGTATTTTCCGTTGGATCCAATAGAGGCAGCAATAAACCCCAGGTATGCTGAATCATCAGAATTCAGAGCAGTTAATATGTTCTGTGGAAATATTGCACAGTAAACAGAACCGCGATCCTGAGCAGTATCCGACAAAATGTACCGACAACGTTCGCGTCCTCCTCCATATTCTGATGTGAATCCACTTAAGTTTGGATGACATCTCGTCTGGTAAACCCTATTGACTCCATTAGATTAACAATTTTTCACTCATGACGACAGATGACACAAACACAAAAGTGAAGTCTAATCTGACTCACATTTTCGACACTGTACATAGCTCCTGTGAACTTCAATTTCCATTGTTTAGAATGGACAGTTTCTAACTCTACACTAGCAGATACTGTTTGCAAACAAATCGCTAAACAATTTTGATTAAGGCCCCTAGAAACCCATGTCAGTACAACAGAGGCCTGTGCGGAGCCTTTCCTTGTCAGCGAGATCCCATGAACGAGGTGCTCGGCTACACGTGTGTCTGCTCAAGGGGCTACGAACATGCCAGCCAGGCGGATCCGAAGTGCGTCAACATCAACGAATGCCAGGATGACAATACCAACCCCTGTCACAATGGGGGCAAGTGCCACGACCTCACACCACCACCGATGATGCAGCCGAAGCCCGGCGAAGAACTACGATTCCGGTGAGATGATTATTCAGGCTACGAAACGTCCTACAGCAAGTAATTCACTTCAATAAAATTATTCACGATCGCTCATTTAATGGAAAAGGTGAAAAAAGCGCGTGAGCTGTGAAGAGACTGAATCAAAGTTCGAGGTGCTTGAAAGACTTGATGACGTTTACTTTAAGGTCATGAACACAAAATGATGAAATTATGGTTGCATCATTGCAATTAGCTGCATCGTACGTCTGTTCTTTTCTTTTCTAGTCATTTATTGATGGAAGTTGTAATAATATCAAGACAGCTGTACATTCACAACTATTATGCTCTTATTCCTCTTACCGTTCCCAAAAGGCTTGGTTTTTCTATAAATAATATGGTCATCGAAATTGGGGTTAAAAGGTGCCAATCTGACAGATCGAGATCTTGGCCAAAACTCCCCAGCCAAGGTCCAGAGTGGCAGATTTCGAAAGTTAACACGCCGCATAATCGTTTGGCCTTAAGATAAAGCGAATTCTATTGGCATAGAGGTTGAGTCTAGGTTGTGCCAAGAGGCTTTCTGATCACGAAACATTTGTCCAACCAAATGAGGCGCAACGTAACTTCCATTATCCTTGAAATGAGGTTGAAATGATCCTCATTGAAGTTATTTGAGTAGCCGAATTGGAGGTATTGATGCTCTCTCTTTATATACCATAATTGGACGAAAAAGGAGCTGTGTAAAAAGTGCAGGTTTGCCTAGCCTTCGTGATTCATGTCTGGGACTAACAACAAAAATTTAAAAAAAAGAAGAGAAACGAATGACAAAGTTCTTGGGTAAAAACGAATTTGCTATTAAATCGCACAAAACACAACTGACGTGTTTTGACTTATGCCTAAACCCAAATTAATCACACCATTGCCATTAGCACTTAGAACAAATTGGTGTTCTTCCGACTGCAATACCTTTGCAAAAACCACTAAGCAAAACATGTCGAACAGGGTTGTTATATGAAACAAACCTAAATTTAAATATTACTGATTATGAACAAGGTGGAGGTTATCCAAAAATGGTATAAATTTGTCACAGTCACGTCTGAAACAGGAAAGAGACAAGGTTTTTACAAAATGTAAAACATTTACTATAACAAATGAACGATATTACAGATTCGGGAACCTTTTGAAAATGTCTCAACTTTTTGAGATGACAGTCAAATAAATTGCATGAGGCAGAACTTGGGACAAATTTAAATGCCACACAATGTCACTCATCTCACGAGATAGCAGTCATGATGTACAAAGTCATGAGCTTAGTTGTGATTGAGGTTTGCATTGCTAGTCTCTCAAAACTATTATCACATCCCCTTATTTGTCAAATCGGCACCACTTAAGCGAATATTGATTTCTTCTGCCGTTGAAACAGATGTGAGTGCAAATTTGGCTTTAAGGGAACCCTCTGCGAGGAGCCGCCACCACCGCCGGCCTGGTCAGAATGGGGCGACTGGAGCGCCTGTTCCGTGTCCTGCGGCATGGGGATTCGAACCCGGACCCGAGTCTGCCCTCGACCGGGCGAATGTCCGGGCAAACCCGAACAGACGGGAGTTTGTGGGGGACGGGTGCTCTCCTGCGAGAAGGCCAAAAATACGACAAGCGACACCGGGAAAACTGGCGTCGCCTGCGTCTCTGAGGAAGAGCTACTACGAGAGGTAAACTTCATTTTACGCAACAATTCTGCACCTAAGTTGTAAAAAAGTATTGAAAACGCCATAATTGACTTTTCTGGATATAGGAACGAAGCTTAGACCAAGTAAGCACAGGCCAAGCTTCGGAATTGAATACTGCAATTGGGAAATGCTCATGTCATTTCAACAAGGCGTAATCGAAACACCAAGCATATTTTAATGTGAATGCCATTCGTTATCTCCTTCACACTGATATTTTTTAGGGAAATTAGTAGCTTCAAGACAATTCAGTTTCATAAGATTGATAAATTGATGCTGTCTCCTAGTTTTGTGGGCCTACTCTCCTAATTTTTACTGTCACTTTGCCCAACCGGTCACTGTCCATGTGGCCCAAAACATGCACGTGATCGCTTTTCCTCTGGTTAATTTTGATTGCAGGCTCGCATAACGGACTGGTAGTTATGGACACAGGTACAATTCACTCTACAAATTTGTTTCCATTACCTGTTAGATGTTCAAGGCAGGTGCAGTGAATTCCACAGTGTCGTACGAAAGGGGACTGTCATATCTAGGCATGAATGAAGGTTAATGTGGATCGTCCAAAGTAAATAATGAATCGTCTTTTAGGCGAGTGTCCTCTGGACAGAAGAGGACGATTTGACATTGGAAGACGCATTCACATGGTCCGAGCAGCAATATGAAGTGAAGCGGTCCGCCGCGAATTTTTACCGAAATCAGAGCTTGACCAGTCAAATCGGAGATCTTACGCGTTGGATTCCCATTTTTGGGTTATCTCAACGAATGACCATGAGAAGAGTGGCTGCTATCACTGGCTCACTCGCTGTGGCCTCACTCAGTCTCTTCATTCTACTTCTTGTCATCAACCATTACCAAATAAGTGCTCGTACGCAGAGAAGACTCTAAATAAACATGAATTTACAATAAAAAACTACTCAATGCATCCCCGCTGATCGAAGTTACACTAAATTAAGTAGAGGTGACTTCGCGGAGGGAGGTACTCCCCCTTTTCAAGGAATGAAAACCTTGCTGGAAATATGCCACCCAAATTAGTAGGCGAATCAAACGTCAGCAAAAGCGGCCTCAAAGCCTAGTAGCATTTACTGATTATTATAAAAAAAATGTAGGAACCAACAAAATTGATTTCTTAGTAGGCAACTTTTGGACTAAGTTGACGACAAATTCACACACAATTACCTTGAAGTGTTCGCAACCTCGATGCTGATCAGTAAATGATGAAGAGTCAGACACGCTTTCCTCTAATTCTAAAAGCAGTTTTCCGAAATCAAAAATCTAAAGCAATTATCTTTACATCACCACAATTCCCGAAGTCCTAAAAAACGAGTTTTCGTTAAAAACAAAAAAAAGTAAGTGCCTATTTATTTGGCTGGCAGTTTAAAGTTACAAAAGAAATACACAATACAACGTGGAGAGCATTGCTGAATGCTCTGTTCAGAAAAAGCTGAAAAAGGATGCGTTATTCGAGGGGGAAAGGTAAATGCCCAATTCAACCTATCGAATAAATAAGACTAGAAGATAATTCAAGGCCGCGACTATGTGGCTGAGGTAGTTCAGATTTGACCACTTGTCCAGAACGTGGAACATGTTGTAGCCCTAAAACGAAAAAAAGGCCCGAGGGTTACTAACTTCAATCCAGATAATTGTCCTGACACGCAATGAATCTTTGGCACTCGCACCGAGAACGTAATTTAGCCAAGTCACGTAGAAATACATGAACGGCGTCATGGTACACCTACACGGCTTGGTGGCACCCAGTGGACTATGTGTAGGCTAACCTTGGTGACTTTAAAAAAATATCTTGGTGAATTAAAAAGCAATGCACACAATATAAAAAACGAAAACAACCAGTCTTTTGGACACTTCACATCCGGAGGAAACCAAATGCGGACTGAAATCGTGGACTCTACTTCCCCAAAAGCCAGTAGGCCCACGAATTCTGTCGAGTCGTGGAAAATTAGAGCATGGTAGCAAACGCTTCAAGTCAAAAGAATGTCATACAAATGGAATCTAAGTAGATGCGCAGGATGGGATCTAGGGATTAAGGGGAGTGCAGGAAAGGGAAAAGTTGACAGAAATGCACCTTCTCTTGTTGTTCGCTTGTATCAAACATGACGGCCAGATAGGCCAAATGGAAGATGGCCAGACAACTGAAGAAGACGTTCACAACACGAACCCACCAATTGGTCTGAAACATAACAAAGAGTTCATCACGGTAGAAGTTGCAATGCTGTTTGCAGTTTCCAGATGGACGCCACTTTGAGCTCACAGTTTTATCAAGATTGTAAGCGAGAATCAAGTATCAGAAGTGGCGAACAGAAACTGCGCATAACTATTCATTGATCGAAAAAAAATCATAGGTTTGCGAGTTGAATTTCAAGTTAACTCTCCTTGCCGAACCCGATGGTCTGACAATCCCGTCCACTCTGGCTGCAGTAAGGAAAAACCAGAAGCTGGAGCGTCAATGGGCGCCACAATTACAGAGGAAAATTCTTCCCGAAGCAGGCTTGAGGGGCAATTCCTACTTTTTATTACATATTAAAATGTAACTACATCGGTTTCAGTGCAGTAATCTAACGCACTAGCTAGCTTTGGCACAATTTAGAACTGTCATACGAACGATGTAGCCTTCTAATTAACAATTTGGTAGCATTGGAAGCGAAATTATTTACAGGTTGAGTGACTGCGACATTTACATTACGCGGTGAGGCAAACACCAATCAATGTAGACCACACAAATTCAAAATTAACTCAGCGCTTGAAATCATAATGGACGACTAGGGTGGGCTGAAAATGGAAAGTTTCTGTGACTGGCAGGAATATAGGCATTGGTTAAATATATCGACAGATTGTATTGCTACGTTAATCAGATAGTTCAGGGACAAGGCACAAAGAAGATTGGTTGTCTAGTGAATTTTGCGCACTCATTTACACGCATTAAAGGAAGCACAGAATTTAAAACCGAAAAAGCAAAGGAAGATAGGTGAAAAAGCCCATTATACTTTGTTTCTGTGGTTGCATTTTCCGCGACAATCTCGGGCTCCAATGCAGGCGTCAAATTTGGACGAGAGTTTTTCGCGAAAGACTGCAAAAAGAAGAGATTTTAGCAAAGACCGCAGTATCCCACAAAAAGACACGGACTGAGCCAATTGTGTGACGTACCATAGTCGATGTAGGCGTACATCCCTATGGAAAAGAGGACGGCTGCGAGTTGAAAATTTAGGCCCTACAAAAAAGCGCGTATCCAGACAAAGGGATTTGGGCAACAAGAACTAATAAGCAAACGGGTTGTCTGCGGGACACGAGAAAAGTTGGTTTATGTAATGAAAAACACTACAATACAAAGCGTTGATTTACAAGGCAGCTCAACTAGTGCTCCTCAGAATTTGAGGATTCACATTCACAAACAGAAGAGAATTTCACAAAATCCGCGTATAGGAGTATTACGCATGGTTACAAACAGGGATTCGTGTTGATTCATGTCCAATAATCCAGTCCTCGCAGATTCCAGCACACGTCCCCCCTTTTCACGGCCTGCCCATCAGTAACGTGAGGCCACTGGTTCATTAATCACTCTGCTTGTCCCCCCACCACCCGTTTTAGTCATGTGACCTCACAGACGCCGGTGTTTATTTTTGTACATGTCCACTGAACCGTAATTGTACACGACACAACTGGGTTGAGCTGGCTAGTAAACGGCTGTGCCTTCTCCACTCCGGTCTTCTTTATTTTCGCGAGAACACAGGGTAACGTATCCGGCCTCGACTGTCGCAGTTGCCCCGGCGTGGTTCAAGACAACATGCCGGGCCCTCAACACCTTCATGTGCGTTCAATAATAGACGAGGATTGCTTTGCGATGCTTGAAGAACTCCCAGAGCTACAGTTTTGATTACAGTCCAGGTCCTGCTCAAAGTAACTTATTAGGGGAGTACTTCAAGTGGTAAAGTGGTTGGAAGTAGCCAACTTGGAAAGACGATGTTTTATGATTCGGTGTTTAAAGGTCCTAAGACAGAAAAAGCCGAAGTCATGCTACAGATCTGCAATCTGCGATTACGAGCCCGAGAAAACTGGATAGTGAGACCACGGATGGGATGGCATCTTAAATGCAAACAGGGGCAATCAGAATGAGTCAGGTAAAACGTTATCCCAGAAGGGATTACTAATAAAAGAGTCGCTAGAATCATTTTTGCAAGTGTTCAGAGGGAAGCCTAACCAGGCAACCGACTATGGCTGATAGACTTCCGGGCGGCATTAAAGTGCATTTTGTAATGGTAGATTCTAGAACAGAACACAACCCTATTTCAACTACAACCCGAAATAGGAAACCTACATGCAGTAGTGAACTGAATGCGTAGGTGAAGAGAAGAGCCGGCAATTGACCGAACTTTCGCGTTGGCTTGTAAATATCTTAAACAAAACAACGCGTAATGTGACAGTTTTAAGCAAAAAACGATGATGCAATTACGGCCAACAGTGGATACTCATACTTATTGATTTGTAAACGTAATAACACTTTGTCATAAACCCTCAATAATAGATTACATAATTAACAGGCAACTGGTGGGAGAAAGTGAAAATTATCAAATAAAGTAGTTTATAAAAGAGAAACGAGGGAAAAGAAGGAAAGAAACAAAGGTGAGTGGCCCCATAATATGTAATATACACGTGTCCCAAGTGTAGTTAGAGAATAGGGGACAGGAGGAGTGACAGCTGAGGTTAACTTACACTGCTTAAGCCAGAAATGCATGGGGAAGTTCCAGTTGACGACCACATCCACGAGCGACCGAGGAAGCTCAACTGAAACCGGATCGGTTACAAGTGCTGTTAAATACCTTTGGTCGCTGAAATGAAGTTTCGAAAAAAAGTGGCACAGACTTACAAAACCACTGAGATGAAGTAATGAATAAGGCCAAGTAGGGAAAATGAACTGGGTGACTTACGGCTTGGGAAAAGAGAGTGCTGCGAAACCGATTGCCTGGTGAAGCGATTGGCTGAAAAAACTGACGAAGTAGTGGCTGAAGCGGAAACTCTGAGACTGAGCGTACGCATTAGTCCATCTGCAAACATGAATGATCAAATATTGAAAACGACTGAAGCACTCGAAACCCCATAAATCAATCAGGAACCAAGTGTCAACACTGGACGTCATGACTACACACAAGCTCCAATTCACAAGATCATGCTGCCTAATTCCAAGTCAAAGAAAGAAGTCAACTTCACGATATAACTGATAAGGTTCACCCTCAACTCATTTGGCCCACCAATAGCATTAAATCAAGAAACTAAGCCCTTTGAGTAAACAAATCCCTATGCTGGTGCTTCTCGGAAAGATTGCAGTGAAACGAAATTATCACTTGGTGCAGGTGAGAAATTTAGAAGTTTTACAAAGGCTGCCGTCGATCAATCACGGGCTTCCAAAATTGTCGTTCAACAAAAAAAACAGCAGAAACCTAGCTTATTTGGGGCAGTGCAAAAGGTAAATTAAACTTAACTCACCTAAAACTGAAAACATAGCTGGCATCAATTATTGAAGACAGGTAGGTCGAGTAGATGATGCAGAGAGTAGAAACCGCAAAGGAAATCGTCGATCGCACAAGATCTTTCCAAAGCTACGAAGATTGAAAAAAAGGACTGGACAATTACGCATCATCCGTTGTTGTCACTTGCGCTGCCATACAACCCGGTTAATTAGTCACCCGTGGTGCCCAAGAGCAGAGGGGAAACAGGCGATGGCAGGGAGAGCCGTTTGCACAGCCACAGAGACACGCGCCTCAGAGTTTGTAAGGCAGGGTCAAATTACAGGAATAACTACTCGAGGGTCTGACAACTGATTATCAATAATGTGAAATGGGCCGAGATTTTCTTGAGTGCACATCGACCACCAACACGAGCGAAAATTAGATGAGACAATCTGCTGCAATCCTGCAATCACATCCAATGCGATTCATACCATATGAAATTCACTATATAGCCAAATCGAAGTCATTTCCCTAGTTGTTTCAGTAGTAAAATAATGTAACAGACAGACCAAAAGGTGAAACTGGGGTTTGAAGCTGAACTCGCACTCCGACTATCACCGTAGACACAGACACACACACATGGAGTACCGACAAAAGTATACAATTTTCCGAAAAAAAACTCGGCCATATCAATTACGGAGGCGTCTTGAGAAGGACCGGTGAACTGGAGAGCGCGAAGGTAGTCATCGAAGTGAAACCACGGTCCGAAAATCACACTTCCAGGCGAGAATGCATAACCACACCAAGCCAGGTAGTGCCTCAGGAATCCCATTCCTCTCCTATCGGCGTGAAAATTGTTGCCGGTCGCGGCCACGGAGATGGCTTTCATTATCAGTATCATCGCCGTGCCTTGTAGGAAGAAAGTTTAAACAAACAATCAACCGTCCATATTCAACTTCCGTCTGCATGCACAGAGCAGAGCATGTCACTACTACGCAATAATCAGAAAACGCAAGCAAGCAGTAGTTCAGCGTTGCATTCGCATCTACCCGAACAAAAGTCAGCACCAATTCCAACGGAAAACGTTATTATTGGCTTTCACTGTACGCTTGCCAAAACCTCTCGGTGGTTGATTGATTCTCGGCTCGGAGTCAATGCCAAGGTCCACCACAACTTTCACCGACCGAGTAAATTGGTTACAACAAATAGAAAACCATGCCAAAGGCAGACAGTGAACCGAACAACATGGTAGCATTTACATCACCTCACACTGGTGTAACACAACGTAACTGTGCTTTTATAACATTTCAGACTACTGCAGGTACATGATGACGGAGAACCACTGTTGACTCACAAAAGCCGCCGACTGACGTTTAGGGGCATTTGTTTGGGAGACACTGGATTTTGTAAAGCACGTCTGTTTAGTTCTTATCAACTAGCCCCTCACCACTACGACAACATTGCCCATCGCATACAATAAAGCTAGTATCTCCAAACGCCGCATTAAACCTCACCTCGAATCATGTGCCACTCTCTTGGATCCATGCGAAATTCGCTGAAAAAAATGAAATTCACGCTTATGGAGGTCGGAAAAAAGGAGAGCGCAAATCGGAGTTCACATTTACACACCAATACAATTGAAGCAGGAGACAACAGAGGGTAACTGAGATCATCTCACAAGTCCAGCCATGGCTTGTTGACGCTGTGGGAGTCACGCACGGTGTCTTCTTGGAGAGAAGTGCGGTGGACGAAAGTACGAGGCCGATTGAGAAAATAAAGGCACACGGTTTCATGCATAGATCACCGAAAAAGTGACGCAAGAGTGTGACACCTAAGAATGAGAACACACGAAAAGCTACTGTGGTGGTGGTGGCGGCGGTGGAGATTTCAAATGCATGAATTTAGGAGACTGCTTGTCTGTCACATCAATTCCACAAGTCATCGGAGCTGACTGGCGTACTGCTACAACATGCGATAATGCAACAACGAATCTGCACGACCCTACTTCGCTTAGAATGTACAAAATATCAAACCGTTTTCCTTAAGTAATTCCAAGAAGTCGTAATTAAGATAAGCGGTTAAAAATCGACTTAATGCGATTGCGCAGCACACAAAGGAAAGCTTTAAATCAAAACAACTGCATGACTCACCGAAGATTATGGACAACCCGTTCAGGAGCGATTCACATGTCCGTAAACCTAAAATTCCTTCAAATGAGACAAATAAGTCAGTTTGTGAAATTGTCTGCAAATAATGAAATCTCAAGAATTAGTTCAATGCTTCCTATCCAAAGTGTATATGTCGTCACAATGGATGCAGTTAGAGTGGATGAACTGATTGACATTTTGCTGTACAGTGGAACAGAGACGCGGATCTCTTAACAGCATCAACTCAGATTTCTCGTCGACTTCAAAGAGGCTCTTGGAAATTCATCTTAGATTTGTGCAAACGGCCGCCAACAAGTCGCGATATCCTTAGGCATCAGGATACGGAGCGAACCCGACAGTTGTGGCAGTAGCGTCTTTGTTTCTTACCAGATGCCCAATTTTCCCATTATCCACAAGTTGATCCATGATTTTACAGTGAATTACTTTAAGTCTTTTTAACAGTTGTAGAAAGCCCATCAATGAAATGGAGGTGGTTTTCTTACCGACATGGGACTTGGGGCAGAAAAAGCGCCCTCAACAAAATTGCAATTTTAATAACAATCAAATGCAGCTACAGTCTAACAGTGCTTGATGCTATTCTGCAGCAAACGTCCGTGATAAATAGTAGTTCCAGAGAAAAGAGAAATTACAACGACAGCACATTCGCTGTTTATAGTCCACACTTTGTCTGCCCATCCAAGGTAACAATAGTTCGTTCACTTACCTGGTAAATACGCGATGTCCGAAGTGGACACTGAATCAAGAAACTAGCAATTTTATCACGTGGCATATTTACGAAACCAAGACCAAGATCAACATGAACGCCAGAGCACTTCTAGGGATTATACTGAGATTTTTTGGAAATAAATGGTGCGTCGTGAAAGCTTTCTTAATAGACCACAGTAGACAATGACAGCGAAAAGTAGAAGGTGATCACAGTCGTCTTGATTGCAGCGCAACACGGAATACCAGGCAATCGACGGTAGGATGTTTTCTCACCAACTGCCTTATAGGACAATTACAGACTGCCGGGAACCAGAAAGGAAATGATAATTCCATGTTGGAATTTTGCAATTTTCCAACAATTCGCAGCCGTGAAAGATCACACGAACGGTTAGTCAATCATGCGAGGTCATGTTGTGGCTAAAAGGGTTTCTTGAAATGACAAACACAGTACTAGACAATGGCTATCGTCGAAGTAGGCGAACGAATACACTGAAAAGCTACGCTTACCATAGCGGAGGTGGGGGTTGGGAAAGACGAGGCGCCGGAGGACCACACAGCAGATCCTCCAGGCGAGACACAGAACAAGGCTGATCCAAATGTTGGGCCAGATCTGACGAACTATGCCCCAGCAGAAAAGAGGCCAAGTTTCGTTGATTTGCTGGGGAAGGTAATAAGTTAAATCGTCTTCATCTGCACTAGAAGGTCCCAGGATATCCACGTATCCCATTGCATCAGATTCGTCAAAATCGTCGTAGTCCATTGTCCTGCAAGAATCAAATCGACATGCGTATACAGGTATAATCTCTCAAGACAACAAAACTCAACACAACCTACCTTCAGACTATTTCTTTACACGAAGCCTGTAGTTTGAAGCCACTGGGATTTGTCAAGCAAAGCTTTAAGCCCAAGCTAAAGAAGTGCAGACTGTTCTTAGAAATTAACGAGCCCTTGACCTCCGAACACAATCGTACGAAGAGTGCTGTGAATGGTGTTTCTTCACACCCCTTAATCCGGTCGCTCCACCTCCTACACAGGGTTCCTCTTTTCGCAGCATGTCGCCAGCCGCGCGGATCCTCAATTCCCCCCCTCATTCAAACGGATATTTATATTGGATTATCCTCACACCTAGGTCTCGATGTTAGCCCATGTATGACTCACACCCGAGGTATAAATACACACGCGCGAATCCCACACACGACACAACGACACCAATGCGGTCGAGCTCTGAAGTAAACGGCTGTCCACGTCCTCTCCGGTCTTTTTCTTCATCGCAGGTACCAAGGCAAACGTAATCGGACCAGGGTTGATTCCGTGGCCCCGGCGTGGTTCAAGACCACATGCTGGGGCCCACAGCAAGAGAATTTCATGAGCTAGTAAAGCTAATTCCAAGGGTTAGACATATAACAGTCGTTTCTGATCGATAGGGGGTAAAGGAGCCCAACTTTGCCTTTTTCTGTTGCCATGCCCTGGGAGGCGTTTCATCTCTTAGTTCTTCACCAACATGAGCAATTAAGATACAGACGGAATAATGCTGTTAGGTATGATGCGGATGTAATTCTAGAGCTGCCCTCATACGCGCACAGGCTACTCAAAACGGGCTATAGAAATGTGTAATTTTGGGTCTGGACGACTGTTTTGACGTGAACTGGCTTGAATAGGACAACTGTGACCCATTTGGAAACTCCTTCCAACACTTTTTAACGAGATTCTTGCTAGTGTTATTAGGGCTATGAAAGCCGTTGGCACGACTTACAGGCTACGTATTAAGAAGAGTAAAAGTTACTTAGTGCCGAGAAAAGTGGACATCCAAGATGTTTAGGTGGCAGATCTTTTAAATCAAACAACTGAACATCTGGAGCGCTTAATTTGGTAGGAACACTAAACACGTCATACATGTAAGAGGGCACTAACTAAGGAGGTATTTGAGGGAGATGGCACTCCCAAAACTTCATACGTATGCATTTTCAAAAAGTACCTACTTTTCCTAACTTTTATGCCAATGCAAACCGCTTTTCATATTCTTATAGAGCACCTTCACCCTATTGGTTCATTCCCCTTTAAATGTGGCATGCGCCTTAATTGCTCTCAAGGCCGCCTAATGCACCTAATCAGGCCTTCAAGGAGGTGGAGCCAGTGCCAGTATGAGAGCTGTACTCTTTCCTGAGTCGAGTATGAGTCTCTGGTTTGGCTATTAATTGCAACTGAGGCCCACGACCCATGAAGATAACAACTTATCGGAGCAGAACAGCGCCTGTCGGATGCATGCAAAGAAACCACGCCCAGGCCAAAATCTTCGTCGAATCTAAGCACACAAAACCACGACACTTGGCAGGCAGCGCAAAGTATGCGTCACTATAACACGATTGAACTTTAGCAACAGGTAAACAGAAATAGCTGAAATAACTTGTGGTATTGCTAAAGGGCGAAAACACGAAACGGGGACCTAACGAAATCCTGAAATACGCAAATCGCAGCAGTCTACCAACCCCTGCGGACCTTATTCTCGACAAGACTTCTACCCTTGTTTCTACACTTTTGGTCATGAAGTTCTAGTTTGCGTTGCCTGTAAAGTAAGCCGATTTTGATTACCGGAAAGTAAAATTAGTTTTCTACCTCACAAGTAGACCAAGCATCGCCATTTCCCCGAAAACCACTGTAAAGCCTGTGTGAAATCGTTACCACGCTACTAGTCCCCGTGTTAGGTGGGAAGAAGGCACAAATAGGACAATATACTTTTGACTACAACTAATTAATACGCGACGAGACAGGGTCTCTCTTAGGGGTCTCCAAACACCAGAAATTTCGATGCGCAGAGCCAGTTTAAGCCAGCACAGCGACAAGCAGTTTTCCATGCCATTTAACGACAAATTCCAGAGACACATAGTGTTCCTGCATAATTTTTGCATCTTACACATGCGGCAAGCGCTCGCAAGCCAAGAAGAGAGAACCGGGCCAGCATTTTTATATTTGAGTGTTCTGTACATCGGATGCGAGGGGGCGGGCTCCTGTCCAGTACATGGAAGTGTAGACCACTTCGTCGTTATCCGCGGTAGCCAGTACAAGCACCTTGCGGACGCTGTTGGCGATTCGCAAGGAGGCCGACAGGCGGCTGAGGGAAATGCGTGAGTGTGGGGTGAGCACGGTGACAATGTGACTTGCATGGTGAAACAGGGGGTCGCCTACAACCCAGAGGGCACATCTTAAGCACTACATCAAAAAGCACCAAAACATATTATATTTTGTAAAAAAGAGTGCATATGATCGAACGACCAGTAGAATTTATCCAGCAAACCTGGTGCGGCTTATAATACCAGCACCAAGATGTCTTAGCAATTGAATTCTAATGTGCAGCACAGCGATTAGTGCTGTTTCGGATGAATAACTATTGCCTTTAATCGTTCTAAGTCGCACGTTAAGTAAGAGTAAACACTCAAAACGTTGAGCTGGAGCCCAACAAAGCACCTGAAGAGCCAAGAACACAAGGCCAGTTCACTAACAATTAGGAGCCACAAACAACAACCAAATTAGCTCAACAATAGGAGAAATCCGCTTGCATCCAAATCCGAAGGAGTCGATGACTTATGCACTATCACGTACATGAGTTACAGTGGTTAAAAGACTTAGGTAAATTCACTGAAATCTAAGATTCGCGGTTGCATGCCACAAGACCGGCTACGGGAGATTCGTAGGACAAGTGCAAGGCTGGATACAATGACAATACTGTACGAGCCAAAAACGGAGATTAAAAGTTCTGTAGACCCACTGGCTGCAAATCCTACAGGAAGACACCCAACATTTATTTAGGATTGAAATTGTACAGCGTTTTCCAGTAGATTCCGCTTTGCATTACACTGTACTACCGTGGTATCAGCGAAAAATGCTGATACCCCCTACTTGCTGTTGCTTGAGAAATGCCCATTTGGATGACGGTTTACCAATTACCGATAGAGACGAATGGACGGAAATGTGTTAGAACCTTACAAAACCATGAACAACTGGCAGAAGGAATAACCAACCTTGGTAGACAAGGAAATTGCCACCCAACTTCGCGGCTGAACAGGTAATGTAAAATCCTTTGGACCAGAGACTTTGAAACACCTTACATCGTAGTACAGCGGACTCAATTGTCACAGGCCCGGAATTCGGCGTAAGGCTCAGCAGCCATTGTGCAACTAAAAATTATAATAATACATTAGCTACTTTAAAGGAATAAGTACAAGTATTTTAGCCACCATACCCTTTTCGACGCTGGCACAAGCCTCTTCGGGGGGGATGAGATACCGGTGCTCCCCATTGCGCTTCCACTCTTGAGGAGTAGGACGAGGCCTGTGAATCGGAATGTACTTGGCCATCTCCGCCTCCTTACAACCCGTACTCGCCGTCAATTCCTCTAGAGTTGGTCGATTCTCGCTGGGTTGGCTGTCCTCATCAGCTACCACAGCCTCCAATCCATCACAATAATAGTCGTCATCGAGATAATCCGTCGCAGACTCCATTGCTGACGACACCTTACGACGCTCACGGTGCAAACTCTTCTTCAAACGCTTCTTGGAAATCTCTTTGCCTACCATAAAGCAAGGTTAAGCGGTTGATAAGACCATAAGTTACACATTTAGAGTAAAAATAATTACCAGCATCGTCAGGGAGGACCGTCTCGTTGTGGTCGATCGTGACGCTACCAGCGACCTTGGCTGCCTCTCGCGCTTTTCGTTTGGCTCTGCCCTGCAGTATCTCACCGTAGTAGCTGAGCATCTTCTGACGCTTTTGCAGTTTAAACACTTCCATCTGGTGGTGCGTGAAGAAGGAAAAGTTAAACGACGACTCCTGAGCTGAACAAGGTTTTTAGAATGACTCAACAACTTGTCTTTGTATGGCACAACCATAGTTGGATCAGTGATTATTAACAGCCTACTGCTACAAACCCACGACTGAAGCTTTGCCCGTATTCACGACAAAAAAGCCGAGTGACTGCGTAGGAAAAGGACTGCACACTATTTAAGCATGTCAAAACAGCAACAAGCCCGGGTGCGCGTACCGACTCAGTGTGATGTTGAGCGAGCGTCTCGTCAAACTTCATGAGACTGACAGGACTGGGGGGTTCAAGCCTTGTTACCGGCTGGACAACGTCAAGGCCTTTGGCGATGCGCATGAAAAGGAGCAGAGTGGTTTCCTCCAGAGTTAATTGGAGTGGCAGACGGACAGAGGGAACGGAGACGGTCTGGGCCGAGGCACCCTTTGACGACGACGACGAGGCTGACGGTCCTAGGGGGGAGAAAGACAGGTGGCCGACGATTCGGTGATCACGACGCAGCCGCTCAACGTCTAGAAAGAGCAGAAGAAGCCAGTTTTGTACAACCTGCATCAAAAATTCCAGCCTACTGCAGCGAGATCAATACACTTTCTATGCTTAATGACATCCTTAAAGACAGCAAAGACAAAAGAGTTACTTTATACGCACTTTGGAATATATCACTTTCACCACTACCGTAATGAAGATAAAAGCCAGTAGGAATGCTCAGAAGGGTACAGCTGCGAGATATATAAATGGGACTTTTAAAGACACGACGACAGACCTCAGTGCATGAAAGAAACCTTTGGGACGCTTTGGAAGTGCTGCATCGCATTAGTTACGACCCAATCCATTTTTACGAAACGCAAACATTTTTATCAACAATGACTTAAATTACAACTTAGTTTGGAACGCAAACACAACAAGGATTGCAAGAAATTCTGCGAATGGAATAACAGAAAACAAACTATTTCTAGCCTTACTTGCCGACCGATGTCGAAAATCCAACTTAGTTAGGGCTCTTTGCACTGTTTAGTGCAACAAAAAATTAAAGCGCGCTCAGACTGGTTACGCATTTTTTGGACCTTTTAAGCACCTTTTAGATATCGTGGAATATTATGAGGACAAATATTACCATTTACACTTCAAGATTTCGATGCAAGTGTTAAAGTGAGTAACTGCTGAAAGTATCCAAGTACTTTATGAGATTAGACGCTGATCAAAAGAACCTTCAAATAACCGTAAGGGAGCAGACCAAGGTTCACAACGTGGGAGCCAATCTTTTACGAACAAAATTGGCACCTTTATGATAGGGGTGGTAAAATTTTGAAGTTAATCTGTATTGAATATTTCATAAAAATACTAGGAAATGGGAATATAAATGTACGATCACCCCCTCAGCCTTAGATCAGAATATCTAAGTACAAAATTGACCGAAATACACGGAGAGAAATAGGCAAGTGATTAGTGGTTGAACGAACTCCAAAAGGATGTGGAATTAAACTAAGGAAAATACGCTGTGCAAATAACCTGATTAGCCCTTACTTGAACGGAATAAGTGGAACTCTGTGCTTAGGCTTTCTAGGAACTCCACGAAGCTTTACAAAGTAAGCTCAAACTGGGCCATATAATCTGTTTAGATACAAGAGTGGGAATCCAAAGTTGAAATTAATCATCGATTTGTCACAATGGTATTATACGTTCAAAAAACATCCTAATGGCACCGTTCATTTACCGACCAAAAACAACGACACAACCCACAGTTTAGTAACTGTCAAAAAATACAGGGAAGGGATAGGCGTAAGCGAGAAAGTTCGTTTCCTTGCGGTATCTAAGCACATGGTTTCAAGCATTTTAGGCCAAATAAAGCATTGTAGAAGCCCAAGTGGCAGAAGAACCACCTCATAAAGTCAGTCCTATTGCAGCTAACCAAGTTCACAAATTAAAAGTGTTATGACCATCCGACATAAAGATCTGGTACAATTCACCAGAAAACTCGTGAGTAAAACTAGGATTCATTCAGGGTTCCACTGACAAAAGGCTATGGTTGTCAATAAAACAAAGTAGAGAGAGGGGGGAGGAGGTTAGCAGATCCCCCGACTTCTTTTTTAACAAGTACTGACTATGCTGAATAGGTAAGATTGAGACGCACAGGAAAAGAACAGCGACAAGGAGGTATGCCTACCGAAACACGGTTTGCGTGGTCACACATGGTAGCTTGTGCTAAGTGTGTAGTTCAGAACCAGTCACCCAAATGACGAGTAATGGAGAATGATGGAACGCGTAAACTGTTACAAAAGGTGAGTTAAAAGACTTACGCTTGGCTATCCAGACGAAAAAACCTCCCCAAGGAGACAGTTGAATAAAAATGTCGTCGTTGGCATGATCAGAGTATGAGTCGTCGGACATAACTGAAATGGGCACAACATGTGTACAAAACATGAAATGTCCGATTTAAACTATTTCGCCAGATATGGACCAAAACGACAAGAATAAACATGGGTCGATGTGCTCAGACCCACACGACATGAAATTCGCGATGAAATAAAAAAATGACTTATATCGAAATACGGTTTAGTTTGCCGCACTAAATTAGGTATTACATTCAGAACACTAAGTCCGCAGTCCTATATAGGCAGAATTAATAAAACAAGAGAGCTCCAGTAGCTATGTAGCGGCAAATTTGGGTAAATTTGTTGGCTAAGGACAACACAGAATGTTGACATGCAATAAGAGGAATGGCTTAGTAAGACAAAAAGTGAAAATCGCGAATGCAAAGAATCAGAGTTAAAATGAGTCATCTGATTTCTTAATCAACTGCGGAACATAAATATTTTATCGCTAGTTCTTATAGATAACTAAAGCACGAATGCGACTGCAAACATAACACTAGTAATCACAGTAAAACTGTAAAACACGTATGCCGGACACTAAGGGCATTTAAAGTTACCAATTACAGTGGCAGGGTTCGGAAGATGAATTGGTGAAAGGAGGGTTGACTGTGTGTGGGATTCAATGATATTCACGAAGCAGAATTACTTTTCCAAATGGATGAAGAGAGTTACCACAAAATGTCTCACTGATAATAAGATATACTATTTAAGAGAGACAAAATGGACTTTGGGCATTGTCAACACACTCTACGCCCAGAATGTTTGGATCATGCGGTTCTTCTGGAGTAAAGTAAATAAAAAGGTCATAATGTGCAATTTAGTTTTAATAATAATTTATTGAAAACACCTATGTTATTAAAAATAATTATCCTCATTATAATTTGATACTTGCAGCCTTGCAATTTACTGAAGTGGTCAGGAAATGTTACGAATGGATGAAAAAAGTGACCTAAGCACTTTTTTTGCTTTAATTAGCATATTGGCTGAAAACGATAAATGACTAAAACTATGAAAATAAGTTTGATTTGTTAAGCGATTTTAGTAGGCCAATTACGATTGAAGACACTAAGTCACTAAACTCACAGTTTTTTGAATGTAAATCTTAAAAACCACATTCATCAAGACCCAGGGCTTGTTTAATTCATAATTTGAAATAGAGTTACAGAAACCAAGTAGTCGCTATGCATTGTTAATTAATTTGTATCAGTTTAAAACTGAGGTTTATGTTTGAATTAACACTGCATTGAATTCAAACACAATATCTTTGGTTTCTGTTCATAGAAAATGTATTTGTTCAAGATCAACTATGTCGTCAATTTAAGCATAAATTTTGAGTTCCTTCCGTCTTTGGACCAGGAGGTTACCTTTTTTTATGGAAAGCTATTAAAAGTTAAAAATTTACCGATACGAGAAATTTTATTCAATTTCACCTTAGCTGCTCAAATTTATTCTTTCATACGTCTGCTGCCTTAAAAAATCTGTTATGGACTTCTAGTCAATATTTCATGCCTCATATGGCTGTAGATTTACCGGGCGTCTGGAACATTTCGGCGATGATATGTGTTGTGGTCTTGAACTTTGCCGGTAGCCCCTGAGTTCTATTTGGCCCTATTACGTTACCCTGCTACCCGTGGTAACGAAAAAGATTGGACAGGAAGTGTATGGAACCATTTACTTCAGAGCGCAACCAAATTTGTGTCATTGTGTCGTGTGTGGCGTTTGCGCGTGTATATTTGTACCTCAGATGTGTGAAACAGTATGAGTCATAAACATGCTAACATCTATACATGGTTGTGTATAATCCAGAATACTCGTTCGCGCTAATAATAGGGAAAGTGAGGATTCGCGCGGCTGACGACGTACCATGGAAATGAGGGACCTTGTTTCGGAGGGCGGAGTAACCGGATTGACGAGACGATTTGGTGAGCCTTTTCATCAAATACGGTTTCCGAAACGTAGGCTATTGGTTTCATGAGGTTTTGATGTGGCCGTCGATGATTACTGTACGGAGATAGGAAAATATATTGGGGGATTTTGGTACCATACCTTAACAGAATTTGAACAGTATTTGTTTTAAAAAAAATTTGTCTCAAACAAATAGACTAAGAGAGAATAATGAGCCCTTTTATTATCAATAAACGTGAACTAAAATAAAATGAATGGAGCTTGTTGCCTAACGCCTCAGATATATGGCGTGCAGCCTATGTCTACGAATTCGCATTGTTTCTACCTTGAATTTTAAGATCAAAGTCTATGAAAAGCACACCCTAACATTTTAGCGGATATGAGCGCGTAATTCAAAAAACGATTATAATCATAATTGAATACGTCGAACACTATACCGCTTAGCTTAAAAATGTCTGCAACGGCAATAATTACGGTTGATACTAATTTTTAAATAGGAAATACATGCAACAAATACAGTCTCTTAGCGCTATTTGTGACTTTGAGTAGTTTTCCAACAAAACCAGCACTGCCAAACAAAGTGTCCTAGGTAAACAAACGGGAGAAATGATGCGAAACCCTTGACGTCGTCTTTGCCAGGTATTTTGGAATTAAAGTAAACTCTGTAAAGAGTAAACCAGAGGCCTGAAATTATTAATTGTATCAGTGACGTGAAAGATGTGACTGCATTGAGAACCTGGGCTAAGCGTAACCACTATTGGAGTTTTCTAAATGCGCGCATAGGTTAATTCTATATCCGAAGGTGACTAAACATGTAAAAATAGGTTCGCGCCTTGCCGCCATTATGATTAAGACATAATATCACTCAGATTGTTTTTAGATTGACTAAATTCCAGAAATAGAAAGAATAAAAGTGGTGTTTTGGTCGTTGGCCATAAAACTTGTTTACTTCCGATATGAAGTTTAAAATCGGCTTTGTCAAACCATTTATGCCATGGATACTGACACTCCAGGAAAAGAGCATTTTTGTTTCCTTCCCTCGTTCGGGCAATCGCACACCTTTACGTCGGAGCTTCGGAACTGGAAATTAACGTTTATGCCTGTCTACATGTACTTGGTTTACTACTGGCGTAAGGTTGAGTCATCGGATTCGGTAATGTTGACCAGGAGGATTATGTGCCACAAGAGTTCACTTTGACGTTGGACCTCTACTAGTTTAATTTTTTGCGTGATAACAGTCAACCCAAAAATAAAAGTCGGTTTTTAGAAAACATTGTCTCAAGGTTACCACCCATGTTATTTTGAATTTTCGCTAACAGCTCTGAAACAGAATAATTCATTTGCAAAAAATATCGAGAAGTGTAAAAAATGACCACGACTTTTACAGACCATATCTAGCCATTGAGACTGTATGGGAAAGTAACACAGATGCTGTGTTCAGAAATAGTCCTTTCGCTGATAAGGTCGTGTATATTTCACAAAAGTGGTGGTTGTGGGAACGTTATACTATATTACTACTAAATGCAATATAGGGTCAGCTAAGTTAGTAGAATAACCCTGATAAGTAGACAAACGTACCGTCCACAAACAAAAAGGTAAAAGTCGGTGACGAGCACAAACATTTATGCAAGCAAGCCCAACCTGCGGAGAGGTACATATAATGCTTCTACAACTAGAGTCAAGCTACGGGACACAATAGTCAAATGTCTGAGGATTTGTTATCAACGCGAGCAGACTATCATAGATTTCCTGACTCGATGATTGATTACCATCACAGACAGATACTATTTGCTTACGGTGAAATTTTGGCTGGAGTAAAGTGATCCTAGGTTAATATTGGATTAGTAATGTTCCATTTCAAGTACATTGAAACGCAGGTTAAAAATGAAGAATAGAATTCTTCGTCTAGATGAAAAATATTGTTGATTTGGTACAGAATAATTGCCCTGAACTTGCATAAATGACGTAGAATGTAGCTTGGAAATTTGAAGATTTGCCAAAATTCGGAAGCAACTTGCATCACTGATAGGAAAACTGTCCTCGTCGTTTAAAACCTGAGAAGGCCTTTTTTGAGAATGGTTGAGTTTGACTTAGGAGGGGTGCAGATGAGTAGAAGGAATGGATTAATTGTGCATATTTCTCTGAAATGATCCAAAATCCCACAAAATCTATGGGCCACGGTTTCATTGGGGCTCTTCTCACGGGGTTTGATTACAAACGCTTTTAGTGCTGACGGCTTCCTTATAAGCTGCAAATTGCGCTTAAATATTTGCACACTAAAAGAGTTGATTTAAGAAAAAAATAGGGCGTTAACTGGACTTGCGCAGTTATTTGTTGCTCGTTGAAAGTCGCCTTAAACTCAAAACACAGACTTCGTTCTGTCGGTCATGTATACGCAACGCAAAATTGATAAACAATCTTCAAATGTCCTAACATGTCAATCATTAATATATTTTTCTAAGTCTTTCAGCGCCCCTTAAGACACATTAGAGGCTTCTGTAGGCAAAAATGACCTGATGTGCATACTGCTTTTGCATAGTTAATTCTTCTCTAGTTTTGACCTCAAAGTCAAAACACTTTATATGTTCTAGAAATTTTATTCCCACAACTATCATGAAACTTTGCGTTTTTATTTGCCGTAGTTCCTCATGCGCATCAATTCTTAAGCAAGCTGCCTTTCTTTTACCCACTCAATAACCCACGAAAATTTATATAATGGGCGTCTCTTTGTCGCAAATAATGATAATAACAATAACGCGCAAGTGTTTTTCCAAACTGCTTCTTTTCCATAAACTCGTTAAATGTACTGCCTTTTGTTTCGTTCCATTTATTTTCTTAAGATTAATTTGCGTAAATACTTTTACTTACACATTTAGCGCAACGTATTACGAAACTGTTTTAAATGCAAATTCAAGTACCCAGTATCGTAACTTCCCACATGCAGTTTTCTTCACCTGAAAAGATTTGATAGACAAATTTGTGCTACAAATTTTAAGGGAAAAATGCACACTTGAAATGCAGCTCAAAGTATTTTTCTCTTTTGCAAGTTTCTAAAGGTATTGTTCTAACAGATACCTGTGCATTGTAAATCTACACATTCCGGTTAATTTA